TAGTCTTGCCAACTGCACACACTGGGTTAAATGAAAGAAAGGAAAACCTATTCTGTTGCTGTTATGTATTATCTTTTAAGCCTACATGGGTTCCAACTGTATTAAATGTTCAAAATGAACAAGGCTTGGTTACAGCTCCTGACTGCCTTTACCCATTATGGTGAAATTAACACAAATTCTTACAAAGACCAATGTAAAAAAGTAATTTCTCACAGAGACATTTTGGTAGGCTGTACCAATATTAGGCCTAACTATTTAATGGTGTTTTCTATAACATGACTAAATTCACATTCACTCTACAGAAGTGAGAATGAATTTTCAATATCATAAAAGCAAACTAGAATACCATATGTGAATATGGCTCCTGGGGATATCAGGCATGTCCTGGATAAGCAGTCCCATTACAGATTATCTGATTGCCCCCTGACATGCATTTTTTCTTTCTTTATGGTTCCATTTGTCTGTCCATCTCTTTCCCCTTTTCATTAGCTCCTCTTTCTTTTCTTTTTTTCCAATCTTCCCATTCTATCCTTCCTCCAAAATCTGTCTTAGAAATTTAATTAAACTTGGATTACTTTTTCAATGACAATGACAAAAAAAAAAAAAAAAAAAAAAAAAAAAAAAAAAAAAAAAAAAAAAAAAAAAAAAAAAAAAAAAAAAAAAAAAAAAAACATTTTGAAAATCTGACATTACTGCTGCATGGCAAGACTTTTGCGCAAATGTTACTGAGAACATAGAGAAAATATCCTAGCATTTGGATCATTGTTAGTAGAGGGACATACTGGACAATCCAGACAGGATCTGAATAAGACCTTGTCCTTGGCAACAAATTGCAACTGGTTATTTACACAGCATCTACATTATATTAGGAGAATAATGTTTTAAACTGTACAGGATACTATGTTTCTGTTTTATCCAAGTAATGCACCATTACATAAATATCTGCATGGACACATGCAAAGTAAATTCACAAAAACACTTTCTCTCTCTCTCTCTCTCTCTCTCTCTCTCTCTCTCTCTCTCTCTCTCTCTCTCTCTCTCTCTCGCACTCTCTCATTCTCACTCACTCTCCTAAAAGGTCAATATGACTAAATTGGACAGTGAGCACATTTTCTATATATACTATATAGTACTTTAAATATTCTGTACTTTTTCCTATGTATTTCATGGAAAAAAAAAAAAAAAGTAACTGTATATATATATATATATATATATATATATATATATATATATATATATATATATATATATATATATATATATATACATATATATATACATATATATATACATATATATATATATATATATATATATATATACATACATATATATATACATATATATATATATATATATATATATATATATATATATATATATACATATATATATATATATATATATATATATATATATATATATATATATATATATATATATATATATACATATATATATATATATATATATATATATATACATATATACATATATATATATATATATATATATATATATATATATATATATATATATATATATATATATATATATATACATATATATATATATATATATATATATATATATATATATATATATATATATATATATATATATATATACATGTATGGCCTTTCTTAGAATGATTTGTTCTACATCCAAAGGGAACTCACAAGCCAGAATTTGAAAATGTTAAATCATCAGATACATCTTTTACATCTACTGAAGAACCACATTATCATACATGTATTGCACAACTCTTAACCAGTCACGAAAATGAGAAAATCTTTCAAAATCTATACTTTCCTTGCTAAGATATGAAAAAGGCTAATTAACAGGTTTAACTAGCCTATACAATGTGGTGGAAACAGTGAGGGAATAAAAATAATAATAAATAAATAAAAAATAAACAAATAAAAAAAATTAAAAGTTGCTGTTCAAAGAAAAGGTGTCCTGTACAAAGGCTTCTTAAAATATGTCAATTTACAGAAATTCTAATGGTGAATCCGTTCTCAAATATTTACAAGGAATATATTTTTGATGCTACGATTCTTTTTACTGGTTCTCTATGGAAGCTTTTATAGCTGAACTACAATGCATAGCATTCTGGTGCTTCAACATTTGATTTTTCTTTGTGAAAGATATCAATAAGAATAAATAATGCCTGAGGAAAATAAGAATTCAATGATATTCCAATGATACAATCTTTTAAAGGAACCATCCCTAGTGGAGAAAGGGTAAGAGAGTGATTTGAAGTTAGCCTTTACAGAAAAAAGAAAGAAAGAAATATCTATATGTACATATGTATTTGTGTGTGTGTGTGTGTGTGTGTGTGTGTGTGTGTGTGTGTGTGTGTGTGTGTGTGTGTGTGCATATATGTGTACACACACACACACACACACACACACACACACACACACACACACACACACACACACACACACACACACACACACACACACACACACACACACACACAAAACACACACACACACACAAAACACACACACACAATACACACACACACACAATACACACACACACACAATACACACACACACAAAACACACACACACACAAAACACACACACACAAAACACACACACACAAAACACATGCACGCACGCACACACACACAAAATGAACAAATGACTGGAGCAAGAGAGGCCTTGGCTGGGATGGTTCCTTTAATAGAGACTATACAACTGAACTCCAGATAACTTATACTGCCTCACAGAATTATTAATCATTTCTTCCTTTACCACTAAATGTCACACCTGTGTTACCTGAATTCTTGAATCAAATGGAATGATATTCCATTAGAACACATGAATATCTATAAAAATTGCCTGAAAGTTTATTTTCTGACAATTCCATACAACTTTCATAGTGCACAGCCACATGCATTTCACCTTGTAAATTTTAATGATTCCTTTATGATAAATAATTAGTACTTAGTAAATATATACAAACATGTCATGGTGAAAACACTGTCAGACTGCTCTATGGTTCTATATGTACACAAGTGAAGATCTGAATCTGAAAAGTGGGTTAGTTGTATGTAATTGATTATTTATGTTAGTGATTTTCAGCTACCAAATGGAATGTATTAGAGGTGATACATAGGGTGCTGGTGCAGTGACATGAAAGTGATAGCCAACCTACCCAGCAAAGGCCTCAGGTCTTCTTCTCTCTGCTGCCGCCCTCTGTTTGACTGTGGCAGCCAAGGCTCCCTGTGTGAGGCGGATGTGCCCTGTGGCAGCTGTGCCTTCAAACTCACAGTCCTCATGCAAGGTGGGCAAGACGCCCCCCGTCCCTGCCCCAGACCCTCCATTCCCTGGGCTACCAGGGGAAGGGGTATGGGGGGAGTCGGTGCCTGCCCCGCCTGCCTGCTGTGAGGCAGCATCTAGGTACAATAGGTAGCGCTCGCTCTTCAAGAAACTTGGGTACGTGCTGCGGGCAATTTCTTCTTCCACCTGCACGTATTTATACTAAGGATTAGTACCTTAAAACAGTAATGGTATGCCATGATATGTTGTGTCTTCCTACAATACTCTCTTGACAATTTTCCATTCTACAATTTGAATAAGACAGAAAAAAAGAAGCTGTCCTATGCAATGCCACTACTATGTTATAACAGTAAATTGATCTATCAGAAGGTAGATAATTCCTTTATACAAAGAGGAATAAAATATCAGTAAAGAAAAGAAGAAGGAGGAGAAGAAGAAAAAGAAAAGAAAAAAAAATAGAAAGAAAGAAAGAAAGAAGAAAAAAAAAAAAAATAGAAACTACCATGAAGTCAACCAAGTGAAGTTAATCAAAGCTCTAAATAACTCCTTCAGGCATGCACTTACTTCTCTCTGGGCATCATCAAAAATATTCCGGTCAATACTGCGAGCATTTATGCGGTCATTGACAATCTTGTAGGTCTTTTCAGAGACCCTAACAACGAAGTTCCGAATAAAGCGCTTCCAAATGATGGTGACAAGCTGGGAGGGATCCTGGGTGGATTTCCTGAGGCCATTGCAGGCGAACCAGAAGTGGAGAGACTCACAAGAGCCACACTCCTCCTTCAAGAACTCCTGGAATAGCTGCACTCCCTGGGAATCTTCTAGAAGCTGTGGCAGTGAGTACGACCAGCGGATGACAGGTGGGGTGGAGCCTCCCTCCCCCCCACCAAAGCAGGGCGAACCTCCCTCCACGGAGCCCCCCGCCAACGCTGGCCCATCGCCCCCGCCTTCACCTGAAACACATATTTCAAAACATTGTATCCTCCATGGAAAGACATTTGACATCTCACATACGCAATGAATGCTAAGAAATACACGTAAAACTACAAAAATGAATTAAAATTGTTATAATACAAACAAATCCTTTTTTGGATCTGTATAATGCCCTTCTCCCACAGTTTTCAAATGATTTAAGCATGGCATTGCAAACCTGGACAAGGAGAGTGGATGGGGAGTGGGGCTTCAGGAGAGAGGCACTGGCCAGGCTTGCCCCAGTCCTCCAGGCTCTCCTTGGCCCACTCCCCGTGGTGGAAGTGGTGCTGCCCCGGGACGTCCTCACCACCTGGCACAGGCGGCCGAGGGTCCAGGCGGCCACAAGTCTCAGCTCCTCCAACTGTCTCCCCCTCAATGCTGTAATACAAAGAAAGCATTGTTATATTCCACAGAGGTTTTGATAAGTATGGCTATGTCACACATCAAATAGTATTTGTGCACTGGGAAAAACAAATCCTCAGTTTTTCTTTTCTTTTTTATAGAAGGTTGAACTAGCAGTATCATAGCATAAGCATAATAAACAGTAAGACAAAAAGCTACCTGTGTTGTGATTGAGGGGTTTTCTGCGGAGAGTGAGCCAAGGTTTGGGGTCCGCCTGTTTGGTCCCCAGCCGGCCCCCCAGGCTGGACTCCTGGGGGGGGTTCGGGGGAGGTGCTGCTCATCTGGCCAACACCTTTGTGCTGGTGCCACAGGTGCTGCTGCTGCTGCTGC